TATGACCTTAAGAAAATATTTGTTCATGTATTGGGTACGGAAATTTAGGACTTAATGACAGGGGAAGAATAAAACTGCCCCCCCCCCCCCCCCAAAAAAAAAAAAAAATGATTCAAAAGATCTATTTTAAGATTTTGAATTATTCCTAAGTTTTGAAACTTGACAAAATAGAAGTTCAGTGTAAGCACATTTAATACACAAGAGCAATAACTCCAGAATATTAAGATATTTATAAGTTTGAGAAGGAATGTCGTTATTTTCTACAGGCATTTAATTTAAAGGTAAAAATTGTTTGATTATTTTATAGAATTGAAACAAGTCACATAAATAGAAATTTTAATTAAAATATCAGATGGATTTTTTATTGAATATCAGTGAATAAAAATTTTGTGTTGATTATTTATTATATTCAAACAATCTACAATGGATTAATTAGATAAAAAAAATTCACTGTAAGTTGAAGAATTGTTTTTGTATTGATTCAAAATGAACAGAGGTAGTTGATATTATTGTACATGGCTGTTTTCCATTTGTCATGTTCTTTAATTGTGAAGTAAAATATACTGTTTGTTGTGTTTATATCTTGTATCCTGGTGTAGGAAGTATAATAATCTTTGACCAATAAAACAAAATATGAATCATCAAGATTTTCCTGTTTAACAGATTAAAAAACTTTCTTTTTTGTGTGGTTTTTGATATGCAGTAACATATTGCTGTATTTTATGGGTATTGAATCTTGATCTATTTGTATATCTGAAATGGAGTTTGTCCTGTTTGTAAATGGTAAGGTTTTAATATATTGAGATAAATTCATTAACTTGTTTGTAAATTTAGATATGGTTTTGGGTACTATGGTAGAATTATCATGTTTGTAAATGGCAAGATTTTAAGTTATTGAAGTAAATTCATCCTGTTTGTAAATGTTGGTAAGATTCTGAGTTATTAAGAAAGTTCTATCCTGTTTGTAAAAAGTCGTTATACGGAACTCGGCAAATGTTGGTTTTTCCCAGCTAATCTGTAGGTACAAACAAACTTTTACCGACCGTTATAGTTACATGGTGCACTACCAGTCCGACTAGATTAGACAACCTGTTGCACTTATTTTCGAACCTGTCACTGTAAAAGTTTGTTTGGAAAACTCCAAATATTCATAATTCTGCAGTAAGTCTGTTGAAATAGTTTAATTATTGAGGTAGACCTATTCTGTTCTGTTTGTAAAATCTCAAGATTTTAAGTTATTGAAGTAGATTTATCCTGTTTGTAAATGGTTGTATTTTAAACTATTGAGGTATAGACCTATCTTGTTTTTAAATGGTAAGAATTTAAGTTGATATTAATGTTTGGAAATGGTGAGATTTTAAGTAATTGAGGTAGATCAATTCTTTTCAAGTTATTGAGTCTTATGTATTCTAGTTTAATAGTTTAATTATTGAGGTAGACCTATTCTGTTCTGTTTGTAAAATCTGAAGATTTTAAGTAAATATTGAGGTATAGACCTATCTTGTTTTTAAATGGTAAGAATTTAAGTTGATGTAAATGTTGGTAAGATTCTGAGTTATTAAGAAAGTTCTATCCTGTTTGTAAATAGTCGTTATTTTCCTGTAAACAAAGTATACCTGATGAAGACTTTTGAGTCGAAACGTTGTATATTTTTCAAATAAAATAAATACATTTTTAAATTGAAACTGGAGTTGATTTCTATATTCAAACTTACATAGTTTAATATGTAAACATTAAATTTTGCTCTGGTGGAGAAGCATTTATTACTTTTCAAAGTTTGGAGAGAATGGCTGTATTCTTATAATAGTTGACATAGAAAATTGAATGTTACATTATTATTGCCTGGTATAATTGTAGGACTGTGTCTGCAGCATGATCACATAGTTCAATACATAGTCAATACAACTTGAGTTGTCTAATTGAAAACTTGAAATTTGTTTATTATTATGCCAATTATTTGACTGAATACCTCTTTTCATTGCTAGGACAAACTATGATTGCATGATCGTGGATTCTCGAACAATTACTCATTTTGTCAAACATTTATATCAAAGTTTAATTCGATCAAGATAAAAAAAAATGTAATGTTCATGATAAAATGGATTGAAATGGCAAAGCGATTTCTTTTTTGGTAAGATAAATGGTATATAAGTGAATGAGATAGCAAAAATCCAAGCCTGGGTAAATCTTATATGCTACATGATTGAGATTATTATAAACTGGAAGATTATTTTAATTTGTTCAAGGTAAAATTGAATTATCTAGAATATATAGTTTTGTTCCTTTATAAAAACTTATTTTAATTATGTCTAGGTTACTAAACAATCAAAATATATGTTGAGCACAAAATCTATTTATAATGTATGTTACATTGTATGTATATGCTGAGGCCCACATGGAACTTACCAGACAACAGAATGTGCTAGCCTCATTAAATACAGTTGTTACTTATTTATTATAAATGCTGTTAAAGTCAGTTACGATATTGAGCACATTTTTACTAAAACTAAACATAAGGTTGCTTAACATAACAAAGTTATGACTGGGGTGAGCCTTGTTAATGTAGTACATGTACTTATATTCCTCACAATGTAGTTGCAATGGAGTACAGTCTGCCTCAGACTCTAAGCTTAAATTAGCAGAGCATTTGATTTGTTATCAAGGTGTCCCTAGTTAGATCCTCTGGCAAGGTGAAATTGTTCATTGACAGTTGATCTCGAACATCAAGACTCATAATTTCACTGCTGATGGGATAGGTTACAGTCTGCTAGTCAGTCACTTGCAGAGAAATTGGTCAATTATACTGGTTAGTTATCCAGGACATCCCATTCTAGGTGGACCGACCAACAAAAATGTGTCGATATTGGCATACAAAACTGACAGACAATGATGTACAATTTTGTCAGGTCTGAATACATTTCCAAGTACTGAGTGCAATTTTCTATGTGTAACTTGTTACGTGTACTAAACATTGCAGAGTTACCCTAAGTGCAAATTTTATGTCAAGACTCTGTCATATTTTTTGTAAAAACAACATGTATTGCATTCTTTGAATCTGTAAAATATTTTCCTGTTATCTCACCCACTTAAATCTATTCATTTCCTTGAAAATTATCATATTCCTCATAAAGCTTAAATGTGCCAATACTTAATGTAAAATGATTATAAATGTTTTTTTGTTGTTTTTTTTAAAAATGCATGACCTTTTGTTTATAGGATTTGTCTGTTAGTATAATGTGCACAATGTTTGAATGACATTGTAAAATATAAGAAAATTACAGAAAATGAGTCATCAGAATATAAGATGAAAGTAAATGAGCCGTGCCATGACAAAACCAACATAATGGGTTTGCGACCAGCATCCGCGCAGTCTGATCAGGATCCATGCTGTTCGCTATCAGTTTCTCTACTTGTTATAGGGTTTGTAAGCGAACAGCATGGATCCTGATCAGACTGCGCAGATGTGCAGGCTGGTCTGGATCCATGCTGGTCGCAAACCCATTATGTTGGTTTTGTCATGGCACGTCTCAAATGTTGTTTGATAAATAACATAATATACATGGTGGTGTGAGTCAGACAAAAACAATTAACATTAATTAAATAATTATTCAAGTGGTGTTATCATTAGATGTAAAATATCCACATGCAACAAAATACAAGGAATGTTTCATTACTGCACGTATTCATTATAAACAGTACATACTACAGTTTATGCGGTATATACATTCATTTCAGGTTCATTAGCTATAAAAATCTATTTTTAGCTGTGAAAATCAAAGGTTCAAGATGAACTATTAGTATATATAGACTTTTAATATAATGCGTCAATCATAGGGGGACGTCGACAATGTTGTAGTCCTTATAATCTACTGGTCATAATCATTTCAAATTGTGTTGCATCTAGTATGCTAAGAAGAAAATTAATCTACTCATAAATTTTTCCACTTTTCCTCATTAAGGAGTTGACCTCTTTTAGGATTTTGGTCTCTTTAGGGGGCAACCAGAGCTTAAGAATAGTAGTATTCTTTAAAGGCTGTAAGTTTAAAACACAAGTTTTGTTGCAGCTGCTTGAGCAGTATATAAAATCTCAGGTGACACTTACTTTTTGCAAACCAAGTTATGAATCATAGCAGAAATTTGTATGAGCGTACCTTCCTCAGTTTGTATGGTACGCCACAAGGGTGATTAGCGCTAAATGTTTGCAACGTATATGACATAAAGAAGAAGTTACAATTGTATTATCCCACCAAGTCCTTGTTTATTATGATTGGTCCATCAAGTTTGCTCATTTAAAGTTAGTTGGGCCCCCGCAAGAGCTATGAATAGAATACTCGTAAACGATCAACTTATTCTCATACAGAAAGAATCATCACAAAATTTGATCTGTAGCTTCCCTTCCTATTACTTTCTATTATGTCTGCTGATCACCTCAATTTGCCTTGTCCCTTTTGCCAATAGAGCTTAAAATGGGGAAAAAAAAGACTGACTTAAGATTTCTTTTTGTAAATCCACAACACTTGGCCTGTAGCATTCATGTAGGTGACCTTAATTATGATATTAGAGTGAAGACAATGTTGATACTAACCTTAATTATGCAAATTTAACTATTGTTCAAATGAAAATTAAAAAAAAAAAATCTGAAAGATAACAGTTACACTTACCATGAAATAAAATGTTCAAAATTGTCGTAAAATGTCATTGACACAAGTTCGTGACAACCCATGCATAAAATTTACGCATGTTGCCGCTGTATGCAATACTTTTATACTGTATCTCTATAAATATATCAATGTATGCAATTTATAATTGTGTTTGATAGTCACATCCTGTAGTGTTATATGAAAAATGATTGGTATTTTAATAACTGTTCGAAATATTCGACTCTGCAGACAAGATGACTGTGTGAAATTTACATATTTTTGAATGAATACATGAAACAATGATGGTTATGATAAACGTTAGTGATGGAATAAGTAAAGAAAGTGCTTGTATAATTTCAGAATGATATAAAGATGTTAGAAGAGGAATTAAAGATGGCGCAGACGGCACTGCAGAAATCACAACGATGTCTCCAAGACGAGCGTTCCAGCCATAACCGAGATGTTATCTCATTGAAACTACAACTATACAAAAGTCAAACTGAACTTAAACACCAAAAATCCAAATCCGAGAAACAGTTTACGGAAATTATGTCCCATCTTGTTATGTTGGAGAGTCGATTGAGACGCGAACAGTTGAAACTGCAAAGGGAGACAAGAGATAAAAATACTGTGATTGATAATCAGAAGAAAGAAATCATGAAATTAAGAGACCAAAATGAGCAGTTAATGAATGCTATTAAGGAAATCTGTGCAAACGGTGGTATGAATGGATATATGAGACGCAAAAGTGGTGATAATTCCGAAAATAGTGCTAAAGGATCTCGTGATAAGAAAGGGGCTGCTGGGAAATTGAGTTCCATGAAAGATAAGTTCTCTGCAAAGAACAGAAGCAGTTTGGAATTAAGTAGTTTAAATCTGGAAAAATATCTGATAAAAAACGAAAGGTTGTATTCTAGTCAGGAAGATTTGCGTAGACTCGGAGATGAACGGAGGCGGAGCATTCCAAGTGGAGATGAGAGAATAGCGAGAGGTCAGCAAAATGATTCAAGCCCTCGACCCGTTAGTGATAATAGTGAATATAAAAATGGAAATCGTGCAAAACATGTCAGGTATGCAAATCAGAATTTCTTTTCCGAATACGGTTCTCCAAAATACGAAATGAACAAATCCATAAGTGATTCTTCGCACTTGAGCGAATCCAGTGGTTTTCATTCCCTCAGTGACCATGACCTCTCTGCACAAAACGATTCTTTAACGAACGGAAACCATGACTATGTTGATGAAGATGACGACGATGACAGAATTTTCTCATTCAGTTCGACTCATATTAACACAGTGATAGATGAAGAGGAGGCAATGGGACCGATCGTGTCGCATTCAGGACAAATGATGTCAATGGGATCTATGCCAATGTTGGCACATCGTAATGAGGAGCTTGGTTCGGGCAAGAATCGACCTCATTCATTGTCTAGTGTAGATTTAATGTCCATCCAACAACAGGCACTGAATTTGTCCAGATTAGAACACAGGGGTAGTCCAAAGGGATCGCCTGTGTTGGAAGTTAGTACCCCACCCTCTAGTCCCTCATACACACATTCCAAGAATGAATTGACACCATTTCAAACATTTAAGACGATGTTTCGTAGGAAAGGAAGTAGTAAGAGTAAGGCTAGTAAAAAACGCTCTGTGTCATTGTCGCAAACTACAAATATGGAATACAGCGAGGCTTTGAAAAAGCATTTTCAGAAATATGACATGTCCTAGTTTAATGCCTTATCATTGTGTAGAACTGGTAATTATCAGTTCTGTAGAATGGTTACATTATTTGACTGTTAAAACCAGATTTTCTTTAAAATGGGTAAAAGTTGTGAATTATAATTGTTTATTTGGAAAAAAAAACTGATTTGTGAGTTATGATAGAGTAAAATTTAGTTTGCTTTAAGTTATTGTAAGCTTGTTTTTATATTTTATATATTTTTATGCTAGTTTGGAGACTTTCTTTTCATTTAATTAATTTTAAATTTAGTGGCTTTTATTGACTGTTTTTCCATCTGTTAAAAAAGTGTAATGATTTCATTAGTTGCGTAGTTCTCAATAATTTCAAAGTTTTTATCTGTAACATCTCAGTCTGGGCATAAACCTTATCTTGGCTATTATACCTTGAATGGAACTCTAATGCATTTCTTCAAATGGTTGTGTTCTTTTGTAAAGCTAGCCCACATGGGCTTGAAAACATTTTCAAAAATGGAAATAATACTTGTTGAACATTTCATGTTTTTTTCCATCGTGACTCAAGATTTTTTGGGTTTTTCTTTTTGAGAGCAAAGATTTGTAAGACAGTAATACTGTTGTAGCAAAATAACTAAAGTTTTGTAGAATATACAAGCTAAATCACACTCATATCTAATATCTTGGTTTGGTTCTTTTTGACATTTACTGTTATCTCTTTCTTTACGATTATTTTAATGACCTTAGTGTAATTCAACCACAAACTTCAAAACCAGCTAGGTTATGGGTGCTAGTTGGTTCTACCTAGGAGCCCTCAGCTGCCTAAAATAGTTCATGGGGGATCCATCCTCAAGGCCTCATGGAGGAGCAGTCCTCAAGTCCCCACGGAGGAGCAGTCCTTAAGTCCCCCTTCATCGGTAAAAGCTAGACAGTCTAAAACCCAACAAAACAAAAACTAAACTAATCTATTCTAGAACAAACTTGATTTTTCTTTAAATTATTTTATTTTGCATAATTTCAAGGTTAGGTATAACATGGTGCAAGTTTTTTTTAACAGTGAAGGCAAATGGTATGTAAAATACCTTTTGATTTTGTGACATAAACATTTACAAGGTCTACTTTGATGTCATTGATCACATACCTATTAAAAGGGAATAATGTACAGTACGCACGTTTCTTATAATTTCTTCAAAAAATTATCTGTACAGACTTTAACCTACAAATTATCAAAGTGCGTCAAACTATGTTTGATAATTTTTAACTGGTCGAAATAGTCAGAAAAACATAACTTCATACAGAATTCATTACAAAATTGTTTTGTGTAATTTTGGAGGACAAATTTAAGGAGTTAAATGCGTTGTTGTTGAAAGCTATTTAAATATGAGATAAGAGCAAATCAGTCACGCATGACTTACAAAATAGTATAAAGTAAAACCGACACTGTTTATATGTCAGGCTGACTATCGGTAAATCTAAAGTGCGATTAAATTACAAATTTTTAAACAGTAATTGAAGTAACAGAACGAACAAATTACTCTCGTATTTAACATGAATGTGTTTTCTAATTTTTTGTACCTTTCACTGTTTGTGAAATTTTAGATTAAATTTCAACAACAAACATATGAATGGAATTTCCCAAAATTCTTAATTACTATGAATTGTCTTTATTTGATTTTGAAATTAATTAAAAGACATGGTTTAATTGTAGAAATAAGCTCCCGATTTAATTAAGGTAACCCAACATAAAATATTTGTGTAGATTAAAATTAATGTAACCCTTAGCTCTGCACTTTTTTCGCAGCTTGTACCCTGTATAAGAATTGAAAGTGATTAATATTTTATGCCACTAATATTCAACCAGGCAACCATATGCCCCGGTCACATATTCACGGATAATGCCACGGAAGAGCTACGGTCTAATCGTTCACGGATTACTACGGAAATGTGAAATTTCGTATTCCGCTACGGTTCAAGTACGGACACACAACGGTATGAGCACGGAGTCCGACGGATTTACCACCAAAAGCCCCCGGAGAGACACGGATTGTTACGGACCGACACGGTTTGATACGGAGCGACACGAATCAGGACGGACGCACTACGGATACACTACGGTCTGCTACGGTATAAGCACGGGTTAGTACGAATAAGTACGGTCTGATACGGAGAAGAACGTATTGATACGGAGAAGAACGAATTGCCACGGATCTATACGGACCTAATACATCCGTCCACAACCTCTTGCTTGCTCATAGAAAACGAATTGCAGAGTTCAATAATTTTGGCGGAGAGGACTCAGCCTAATCGCGTCCGACACATCAGGTCCGATTAAAGTGAATTTCTGGAAGGACGCTGGATCCTCAACAAGTTTGACCATGAGAGCCTCATACTAAACTTGAAGCGGTCTTCGTAAAAGCCCATCTCTAGTCCACCATCTCGTCTGTCTTCTCTTACCTGATTAGATATGGACTAGTGATCATTAATGAAAAATGTTGATCAATACTGCTTCTCTTTTAATTTTAAGATTTGCGGTTCATCTTACAATTACATTAATTATCGTGATGTTTATGTTTTAAATATATGTAAAAAGCTTGTTAATTAATCTTATTATCACTCAAGGGCCAGCCTCCGAGACTTATGAGACTCTTCTCTTTATTTACATATTTACTCCAATTTCACGATCTAATGTTTGTAAAATATGTAACATTAATGTAATTCTATTACTTATGAATTGTAGTACGATATTAATATAAATTTAATTCTATGTATGTCATCAAGCAGCTCGACCATTGCCTCTGCATTCTGAGCCATTTCAATATAAAGTTGCAGCCAGTAAATGGCAATTATCATTTTTTAAATGTTTCCGCAAATATGTCTGTTTTTAACAAGAGGGTAGTATTTATACTCTTATGGTGGCATGTTTCTGCCACCAGATAACCATATAACTAACTAGTTAATTAAGAGGTTAACTAGTTACGTAACTAGTTAACCTCTTAATAAACTAGTTAGTTATCAGGTTAACTAGTTACGTAACTAGTTAATCTCTTAATTAACTAGTTATTTATCAGGTTAACTAGTAACATAACTAGTTAACCTCTTTATTAACTAGTTAGTTATCAGGTTAACTAGTTACGTAACTAGTTAATCTCTTAATTAACTAGTTATTTATCATGTTAACTAGTTACGTATCTAGTAAACATCTTCATTAACTAGTTAGATATCAGGTTAACTAGTTACGTAACTAGTTAACCTCTTAATTAACTAGTTAGTTATCAGGTTATCTGATGGCAGAAATATGCCACCATATACCCTTGAAAAAGTACATGATACTTAATTCATTCGTACTAAACAGTGGTGGACCGTACCATTCCGTACCGTTTCGTGTTGCAACGCAATAAACCGTATAAGACCGTGCTAATCCTTGCCTCTCCGAAGTACAACGTATTACGATCGTGGCTTTCCGTGAAAATGCCGTATTAATCCGTATTAAAACCGTAGCTTATACGTAGGGTAACCGTACAAATACGTAGTTCTCCGTACAAAACCGTGGAAATCCTTCACAAGTTGGTGGACTACGAATCAGTACGGACTAGTACGGTTTTTGTACGGACCAGTACGTATCAGTACGGATTAATACGGACTAGTAGGGATACGCTACGGTTGATTTTTCCGTAGCAAATTTTTGTGCATGTTCAAAAATTGTCAAGGATCGCTACGGATATACAAGGACTACTACGATTGATTACGGTTACAATACGGAGAGCTACTGACCAGTACGGGTAGCTACGGACGATGCCGGAATTAATCCGTGGCTCTTCCGTGGGCGTATTCCGTGAATATGTGACCGGGGTAATACACAGTCCGCAGTCTGAGCTGACACTCAATATTGCTGGTAGCTCAATATTTTATGTCCCCACTTTGGGGGCATACAGATTTTCCTCTGTCAGAGTCCAGGGGTGTGCAGGCATACAGATTTTCCTATGTCAAAGTCCAGGGGTGTGCAGGCATATAGATTTTCCTCTGTCAGAGTCCAGGGGTGTGCAGGCATATAGATTTTCCTCTGTCAGAGTCCAGGGGTGTGCAGGCATATAGATTTTCCTCTGTCAGAGTCCAGGGGTGTGCAGGCATATAGATTTTCCTCTGTCAGAGTCCAGGGGTGTGTAGGCATATAGATTTTCCTCTGTCAGAGTCCAGGGGTGTGCAGGCATACAGATTTTCCTCTGTCAGAGTCCAGGGGTGTGCAGGCATACAGATTTTCCTCTGTCAGAGTCCAGGGGTGTGTAGGCATATAGATTTTCCTCTGGCAGAGTCCAGGGGTGTGCAGGCATATAGATTTTCCTCTGGCAGAGTCCAGGGGTGTGTAGGCATATAGATTTTCCTCTGGCAGAGTCCAGGGGTGTGCAGGCATACAGATTTTCCTCTGTCAGAGTCCAGGGGTGTGTAGGCATATAGATTTTCCTCTGTCAGAGTCCAGGGGTGTGTAGGCATATAGATTTTCCTCTGGCAGAGTCCAGGGGTGTGCAGGCATACAGATTTTCCTCTGTCAGAGTCCAGGGTGTGTAGGCATATAGATTTTTCCTCTGGCAGAGTCCAGGGGTGTGCAGGCATACAGATTTTCCTATGTCAGAGTCCAGGGGTGTGCAGGCATATAGATTTTCCTATGTCAGAGTCCAGGGGTGTGCAGGCTGGCCTGGCTCAATACCAGTGGTAGAGATTTAATCACTTTAATTTCCTGCAAAAACAGTTAAATCCTAAAAGGTATGCATTGAAATTTTTGTCGTGCCTTAATAAGTATATATAAGAAATCATATCATATTACCCAATCACAAAGGATCCCACATGATTTGTTATGTCTGAAATAATCATACTTTTTTTAAAATATATTACATTAGTACTGGAACTGAAAAATAAACACACTGGTGTAATATAAAACGCAGTGTGTGTCTGTCTGTACATGGCTAAATTTCTAAAGAAACATTAATAGTTTATCTTGAAGCTAAAAAGTCCCCCCACCTGTCCACCCCTCATAATATTATGGACTTAAAAATAAATATATGACCTATATGACGATATATATTAATATTTGTGATCTATCAAGAATATAAACATTACTATGTTCAATGCAGGTTTTAGACATTATGAATAGCTTATTACATAAAAGATACCTTGTGAATTGAAGAAGCTGAAAAAAAAATTTGGTACATCACTAAACTTATTAAAAAAATACATAAACACAGTCATTAAAAATATAAATAAGCACAGTATTGTATACAATGACAGGTACATGTTAGTAACCCCTGGTATAACATTGAAAAATATACTTTATCATGATTTAAACAAATTGCTATTTTATTATTTATATATAAAATTGTCCATCAAATTACTATAATTATTTTAAATTGTACCTTCCAAATCATTTCACCTGTTAAAATTACCCTGTAACAGGTGTTATAAATATGAATAATGTATTTTTTTTTCAATAAATTTATTTATAATCTACCATCTACAATTATTTGTTTCTTACATAAATGACCTTGAAATAAAAAGTTAAAGGTATAAATTTATGTTAATATATCAAACATCATTTTGTAATTAGTAAACAAGATTAACAATAGAAACTG